ATGAAGGGGTTACATAATCAAAATGAACATAAAAAACACAAAAATATCGAGTCCCCTATATAACCCATTCTCAACAATGACAAGGCAATATTTCACAAAGTTAAGCAAAAGTTTTACGTCATCAGCTACCGTCCTGCAGTACCCTTATCTAAGCACGTATGCCAATATTGCGTAACTATCTATCCACTATCAGAGTTAAGTGGTCATATGTAACGATATAAGTACCATGTATTCGAAATTAGGGCGTTTAAATTAAGTTTTGTATTTGGGGACCTGGTTGCCATTTTCGACAGTGGCGCCATCTACTGATAGCAATTTTTAGTGTCAACTAAAATGTGACCTATATTTAAATCGTACCGTATACTCATTTAAGCTGTTTAAGTGATCAGTGGTAAATAAAATTATGTGAAAATATAAATCGCTTGCTAAAATACACAGTTGATTATTTTTATTTCAAGTTGTTGAACAACCTATTTTGACTACTAACCATTACTTGTTTTGACGTTAAAAAAATGTAAATCGAGAAAAAAAAAGGAAAATCGTCACTAGAAAACCTTTAAAACAAAATCCAATCCATTTTCAATGTAAAAAGGAAAACAAAAGAAGTAGTTTGAACAAAACAGTTATATTAAATTTAATTAAAAGCTTTTGTTTTATCATCATTTATTTTGACTAGTTTTACATTTCTTTGTATAATAAAAATTCTTTGTTAGATCTGTAGAGGTTTAGATTTTAAAATAGTTTGTGATCACTGCTATTATTTTACAGGCTAAACTAGATTAGTATTCAGTCGACATAGCTTTTACTATTCAGCTATAAAAAATAACTTACTGCTACCTAATGGAGACGAAAAATTGTCAAAGAAAAAGTTGATTGAATAAACAGCTATCCTGGCTACAGACTGATGTCAAAGTCAAAGTCAAAGTAAAAATCAAAGTCAAAGTCAAGGCATTTATGTCAATTAAACCATATTTTGGTACTTTTGAAACGTCAATAAATACAAATTAAATAATAGTCTGTCAGTCAGTCCGTCAGTGAAGCTAGGTGAAGCTAGGATGTAATGTGTCTTGCACATGGTTTTGCAACCTCGTGTACCCTTCAACGGCCAATTCACACAACATAATAATAAAGAAATCGCAGTTAGGACCCTTACACTGGGCACGACTTTGTCTAGGTTTCATTACTATTTAGAGATGAACGAAGCGAATGAAGATGAAGCTTAATCGAGACTTGGCTAGTTTTTTACGGAATGTTTTTCATTGGTCTTTATTTTCTTAGCTGCTAGTAAATATAGCTGTTGTGACTGCAGCTTACTTTAACGTTTAAACCGTGCTACTACTGATTTTTTTTAAATCCAGTAACGCTTTGCCCGACCCCTTGCCTGGCAGTCGCACTTGCGACCACTCGGTAAACGGGACAGTCGAAAAACGTAATAATTAATTTAGTATGTCTCACGAAACTTATAATAGAAATCTAGATTTAATATTCTGGAATAACACGTAGGCACTTTCTATCCCGTGATCGCGGGCGAAGTAAATATAATATACGACTTATATTATACACTAGCTTTTACCCGCGGCTTCGCTCGCGTCACAAAAGGATAAAAAATAGCCTATGTGACATATACCAATACATACAGCGCCATCTATACCAATACTTTTGTTTTCCCTCGGGAATATCAATTTTTTTCGGGATAAAAAGTACCCTATTATTTAATCCAGACTACTAACTTTACGTCTGTAAAAATTCAATGCAATCGGTTTAGTAGTTACGGCGTGAAGTCGGAACAAACAAACAAACTCACTTTCCGATTTATAATATTAGAGGATTCAAACGTCCAAAAGACTTACTAACTAATATAAAGAACTACACAATTTCAGTCTCACATTTAGACTAAAATCTAAACTATTACGGAATGTGAAGGATCGTAAAAACCATGTTTTATGTTGTCTATACGAGAAGCAAGTAAACACTGGTGTAAGAATATGTATTTATTTCTACGCCAATATTATTTCGCAAGATTGCAAAGCTAGTTTTTATAATGCGTTGTAAATTTTGTAGCATACATTGCAATGTTTCAGTAAAATTAAATTTCGAGTCGACATGGATTTCCTCATTACTTGTCTACTAATTTTATCGACTGCCTCTTTGGCAAGTGCTTATGCGTGCGGGCAAGGGGCTCGGGTTCGATTCCCGGGTCGGGCAAAGTACGACTGGGTTTTTAAAAAAAATTCTCAGTGGTAGCTCAGTCTGGAATTGTACCCAGTATATGGCAATAGGCCCACCCCCTGGGACCCCATATGGGATTTATAACATAAATAGTGAAAAGTAGATTTTACATTGTTACACCTCTGCCTATCGCTTCGGGGATAAAAGGGGTCTTGTGATGTTATGTTATGTAATTTTGTTGATGAAATTGAAATATTTTTTTTAAATTATTAAGACTAATGTAGATCTAGATATTTATTAATATTGTTTTAGTCAACAGTAAATTATTCAGCTGAAATTCAGACATATTTTTAGTAAAAAATGCGTTAATTTCTCAAGGTCCATATTTAAGTATCTATATATATGTACCTATAGACTACGTAACATTAATCAGAACTTTGTTTGCTATCGCGACGAAAATCTCATTTATTTATGTACACATGTAACAGATACCCAAGAATTAGACACTGCAAGATGGTGCAACGTTTTCACGACCAACTCTGAGCGTACACATATTGATTACCTACGTTACATCTCCAATCTCTATTTATAAAACTACGTACACAATAGAAAGCATACATTACCTATTTATAATTAGACATCCGTGTTATTTTAAGATGTTCGTTATTGTTAAACAGGATTGTAAATAATTGAATTTTTCCCAGTAAATTATCTTCGTAATGAGTGATTGAGAGGAACTGTTGTGGTAGAATGAATTACGTTTATTGCATATCGGTATTTTTTTTAAGGGGGGAAAATCATCGAATGTCTGCTCCCGCCTTTAGTGTCAGACTCTTACTGATTAAAAACCACCCCGTTCCTTCTCCTGCACGTCGAGCCGGAGCCCCGGTTACCCGTTAGGCCCTATTGGGCCCCATCTGTGGTGGTCTGATGGCTCTTTGAGGCGCGCGTGTGCATATCCGTATAGATAGTGCTTAGAAAGATAGTTTTCTTTTAGTTGGTTTATGAATTAACGAGCGACCCGCCCCGGCTTCACACGGGTGCAATATGTATGTATTATACATATAAACCTTCCTTAAAAATCACTCTACCATTTAAAAAAGCACATCAAAATCCGCTGCGTAGTTTTAAAGATCTAAGCATACATGGGGACAAACAGTCGGCGGATAGCAACTTTGTTTTATACTATGTAGTGATGAAGTCGGGATTGAAGTCATGTATCTTATGTTAGATAAGTTGTCTATTAGCATTTTGTGTGTGTCGTAAAATGAAAGACATTTTATGACCCCTTCCAAACCGGAATTATGCGGATCGACTAAGAGATCCTTCACAGAGATTGGGCAACAGCGCTTTCTAATAAACGTGGACCTTAGAATCTTCTATCTCTAACCCATTTGATTCATCTAAGGGCCGATTTTTCAATAATCAGTTAGTCTTGAGCTGTAGAATAAAATTGACATTTGACAGTTTTTAGTATGGAAGAATTATAAAATGTTCAAAGTTATTCTTCAGTTAAAATTAATCTGGCTTTGGAAAAATCGGTCTTAATACTAAATGAAAAATACTTGATATAATTTTATACCTAAAGCAGGTCATTTATTTTTTAAGTAAAACTTGTCAAATACAATATACCAACATGACAGTCAAAACATTACACATGTACTTATACTGAAGCTTGATGTAAAAGGTCAGAGTAACTTTTACGTTGAAAATATTTTTAGATTAGTAATGCCTACAAGACGAAGCTCTCAGAAAGAAATTATATAGAAGGTCACCGCCGGTGTGTTGGGTAGTAAAATATTCAGGGCTGCTCTCGCTATATTAACTTGACAGCGAAATACATCAGCCGGTGACAAATCAAGAAAAAGAGCAAACACGATTTTATAGATATAAAAAATATGGCAGCTTCAAATTGAATCTCCAATAATAATCTAATCAACGATATAATTATGACTATATACTGTCTTATTGATTGTAGAAGATAGTACCTTTTTAAATAGGAACAAATTTTTCTCTGTCTAGGTATTTTCTCGGAAATATGAAAATAGATAAAAAATTTTGTCAATTTCAACAGTGGATACATTCAACACAAGGGTCTGGATGTTTTTAAAATGTGTTAAAAGAGAGCTGAAAAATAAGCCTCACTCACGCCCTTCTATTTGAAACATCGTTTACTTTAAATCTACATGATTATGTTACATGTAGATACATACATACAAATGGAGTTTCTTGCTCATTCTTCTCCATTCGAAACTACACTTTGGAATGAGTGCCTAGCTTCACTGACAGACATACGGACGTACAATTCAGTTGTTGACGTTTCATAAGTGCCTAATTAAGTATTAATTGAAAAAAAAGCTTTGACTATGACTTTGACTTTGATTTTGACTTTGACTTTGACTTTGTCGTTGACTTTGATTTTGACATTGAATTAGACTTTCACTTTCACTTTGTTTTTTTACTTTGGCTTTGACAATTACAATCATCTGTACCTAGTCTTCAGAAGAGATTAGTGTGTCCTCAGTCCGTAATTCTCAATTTGTAAAAAAACCTTTGAATGTCACTTACTTGGCTGAGCGATTTCATAAGTAGAACGTAACCCATTCCACTCCAGCCTTTACCTAAACCAGCCAATCACGTGCCTCCCAACAAAAAAGTACCAATTTTGGAATGTTCCTCATAGAATGTTAGTGAGTTAGTGTACAAGTGTTAAAGTTGGAATTGGAACTAGATGTGGACACTAGAATGTAGCCACGATGAGGAAATGGCATGCGGCAGTATGCTGCATACTTATGTCAATAGTGCCAACCGAGAACTTTCGTGCTCAAGAAATGAATTTGTTACCCCCAAAATATGTGCCAACTACCCCAAGAATTGTGCCACAAATTGGTGTTCCGAAAGTGATTCCCAATTCGATAACTGGGTTCTTCGGACAGATGAAGACGGAGACTGGATCTACAACTGTGGCTGCAGATGATACACAGTTCCTCGTCACCAGCCCAAGGACGATGCGGATTCCTTATGTGAGTCGCTAGTTTTAAGTTTTCCATCGAGTTTTTTGTTCGTCAATACAACATATTTTGTGATCTTATACTATTATCTAAAGCGTAAGAGTTTGTTTTTTTGTATGTTTGTTTGATCGCGCTAATCTCCGTAACTACAAGTCTGATTTGAATGATTCTTTTTGTGTTGGATAGTGCATTTATCGAGGATGGCTATAGACTACAAAACATCACGCTACGACCAATAGGGGTTGAGCAAAGCGTGTGAAACCGCGCGGAAGTAGCTAGTGTAATATAAATTCGACTTTAAAGGTTTTGGACTACAGGTAAAAAATCTATTAAAGAAAGATTGATTGGAGTAGCTCGGTGTCTCAAGCACTACATTTTTTAATTAAAGATTAAGCTATCTTCTGATACGGGGATTGAGTAATAATATTAACTATTTTGCATCTAAACTAAAGGAAAATAGATGAAGAAAAGTGGAAATACTAACATTGCATAGATTTTTATACATAGTTACGTATAATCGTGAATCGACTCACAAGAGATAAATTCAAAACTCAACACTAAAATCACCTTCTTAAAGTTCAGTTTTATTTCTTTCATGATCTTTACATTATCCGAGATCGAAGTGAATTACTAGTCTAAGAGATACATAGCACTTTGCTTTCGTAATCTAAACTCACGTTTATATTTCGTTTAACATAACAAATATTGTTCAGTGCATCTATTTTCAGTTTAAATCGTTTTACGTAGGTCTTTTTATTTCTTTGTAAGTTCACCGCTGCTGAATGGCGATTCATGATCATGGGCTTCTGTACTATTACTGAATCAACTAAAAATTACGAGTTACTCACGTAAATATAGGTACTGAGAGAAGCTCTACTAGTTTCGAATCGCAGAGGGACTCTTTCTCATGAACAGCGTGAGTGGCAGCCTTAATTAATTCCTTAATAAGCCTAGGTAATTCAGGATGTCTTGTAATAGTTATTATTAAAATATTACCTCCTGGTATAACGCAGACACATTTTATAAAAATATACGGTATATCTACATTTACTAAAGGTCTTGTCTACTTAGTTTGCCTACCCTGAATTATGAATTACAACAAAAAAAAAATCAGATGATGAAATTAGTTACAAAATTGCCCAAGAAAATATTTACATGAAACTTGTTAAAAATAATAGTAAGTACTTATACATAAGATAAGATAAAGAGATTTATTATTAGCTACGAAAATCACATGGTAAACACCCAATTATAATGCACCACTGCCTGTGTCTTCAGGGAAATAGCATTTATCGAATTCGATGCCAGGGCGAACCAAATTAGAACAAAACAAATGATATGTGGGTACGTGAGGTTTGTCTTATTTTGCGTTAAATCAAATTTTAATCAACTGTGAGAATTGAACCGGGAAACCGCTTGTACGGCAAAGAAGTTTTTTTTATGGAATAAGCTTTTAAAAGAGCAGACTGATGGCCTAATGGTAAGCAATCTGCGCCGCTCATGAACACCCGAAACACCAGAGGTGTTACAAGTGTGTTACCCTTTTGGGGATTAGTAATTTGAGGATTGTTGTAGTTCCGGGGATTGGAGCGATGGGGACCTTACAAAACCGGTAACCTCACTCACATGACGAAACACAACACAAGCGATGTTTCACGTCGGTTTTCTGTGAAGCCGTGGTATCATTCCGGTTGACCCGGCCCATTCGTGGCGAAGCATGGCTCTCCCACACTAAAAGAAAATATTTAATTACCGAGCCTTACCCCGGCCGGCTGTTCCGACGCATGACATTTAAGAGCTAACTAATAATGACTATGCAATAACAACACATAACAGAGACTGGGCAACAGTGCCCTTTTATTAACCTGAACTTGTTGACCTATGATCTGAAACCTGTTTGCTAAGCGTAGGCAAATTATTGGAAATCCCTTTATAGGAGGCCCATAGTCTCTTACTCTGCGTGCTTTTAATGATGCTGATGAGATGGTGCTAATGTACAGTTCTAAAGTCCTGTTTGTCCAATCGCTGTAGCTATCAAAAATTGACAGTCTAGTGGTTTTTTTTTTGAAGGTGGGAAAATCATCTAATGACTGCTCCCGCCTGGGTGAGGCGGGAGGGAGTGTCAGACTCTTGCTGACTAAAAACCACACCGTTCCTTCTCCTGCACGTCGAGCCGGAGCCCCGGTTACCCGTTAGGTTCTCCGCGACTCCGAATCGGCATCGGCCCTATTGGGCCCCATCTGTGGTGGTCTGATGGCTCTTTCAGGCGCTCGCGGAACGCGACGCGCCGTACGCTCTGGTATTCTGGTGGTTTTAGCAAATTAGTCTTTAAGCTCCAGACAACAAATTTTTACGTGGTCGTACTCATTTACAACCTTGCGAAAAAGTGGCGGGCTGCTAGTATGTAGGTAATATAAAAAAGGCAATATTTTATTTTTATTCTGAGAGAGGAAAATAGCATTTTTATAGGAATAAGACTTCTCGGTATTCGAAATGATATCTGCAGCGTAACAGGATAATTTAACGCATAAATATCCGAAAATAGTCTATCGATAACAACCTTGACACAACACTATCTATTGTAGAGGATTTGTTTACCATAACTATCGATAATATATCTTTCATTATGATCATCTGATAAATAATGAAGTGGCAATGACGATTTTATTATATTTTTGATTATATTATTATTATACTTAATTAATACGGTGGTCTAATTAAACAAATAGGAGTAATTCAACAGTAGCGCCAAAAATTTATGGAAGTAGGTTATCATTAGAGACTACAGCTAGACTTAGGAATACTAGGTTTTCATAATCTACATCTATATCTATAGTTATACATATTGTACATATCTATATACATATTGTAAACTGTACATTGAATATTTAAAAAAAATACTTGGGGCATGATCTACAATCGATACTAAAGCCGAAAATATAGTTTTTAAATTTTTTGTATGTTTGTCTGTATGTATGTCCGAGATGATCTCAAAAAATACTGCATGTAGGGTATGGGTAGGGTAAAGTATTACTGGGTTTTTATCAGTAGTAGCATGAGTCTGTGCCCAGTATATAGCAATAGGCTCACCCCCTATTAAATGGGACTCGTAACATAAATAAAAGTGGGTGTTACATTTTGCAGTGGCATAATGTGCGCCTCTGCCTACTCCTTCGGGAATAAAAGGCGTGATGTTATGTTAATAATAATATTAAAGCAATTAAATATCTAATATTATTTATTATGAAAAGATAGGTAAAGTTTTGACTAAATGTGGTGTAACATTCTAATTAATTATCTTCAATGATTAATTTATTTATCATTGCGTTACTAAACATATTAAATAATCCTTAATTTGTAATCAATTGCTTGTAAACGAAATATCAGTATCGTTTGCGTGGTTTTTCTCCAAATGTTTCGCTTATTTCTTCCATAATAAAATTATGAATGTCCATAGCGGTTTCGTAGCGAACTTTACGATAAGTATTTTGAAACAAAAACACTTCGAAACATCATCTTATCAGAGATAATTATATAATTAGCATTATATAGATTCTGACATTAGACAAAACGATGTAGATTATACAATTTGTTTCAGATTTGTTTAACAAAATTCGCATCAAATATTGTATTACTTTCATTATTAAGCGTCTTATTCATTCACAATATAATTCAAGATAAGAACCTAGGTTCGTATACACTCGTAACATAAGTATAAGTTACAAAATAATATCTTAAAAATTCCCGCCTTTCAAAAAGAAACAAACAAAATGATTCACATCGCCACAAATTCCTATTGTACGCTGAAACGATCGTATATAAATAATATCTTATCCAAATTTTATCAGTGTACGCGTCAGCCATACTTCAGTTTTTGGCATTATCAGTAGATTGGACCGAATTTGATATCAATAACTATCTTAATCATGAAACAATTCGCCCATTTGTGGTACACGCGGACACGTTACGGTTAACCGTTGTCACATGTTTACACAAAACGAACTATCATTTTAGAAATAAACTTATAAATAGTGTTTAAGTGTTAGTTTAAACTTATATTGTAGTGTTATAACTTATAAGTAGTGTTTTAGTGACAAAATGAGTGCAAAAAGTGTGTTTGTGTTTGTGATTTTGTGTTGTGTAAACAGCCGGGCTCTGTGGCAGACGGAAATGCCTTCTTTATTACCGGGTATAGTGGACCCTTCGGATATTTATCCGGACGGACCTCCGTCTTCTGATGGAGTACCAGCCGATTACAGTGAGTTTCACCATCATGTGAACTCACCTTCTCATGGTATGCCGTCTATTGTGCTACCTGGTGATTATCCTGAAGATTTCGATAATCCGTATGGTTCCAAACCTGACTATGTAAGTTCAATATTTGCTCTTGTATATTAGTCTTTACCGACCTGTTTCCTAGAGACCTCTACATGTTCCAATACCATGTTATTAAAGTAACATCAAATAGCTTTACTTTTATAATTAGTTTTTTTTTGTTGACGTTCAAAAGTGCCTTCCTGGTCTAATTAAAATAAATGATTTTGACTGCGGTACTAAATATGCCACTGTACACCGTGACACTCAGTTTTCACTATTTATGTTATGAGTCCCATGTTATAGCGGCTAGCCTATTCCCATATACCGGGAACATTTCCAGACTCCGTGTGATTTTTTTTAAAAAACCCAGTAATACTAGCTGGAGAACTTTGACAATATTTCCTATAGAATTTGAACCGTATAATTCAATTGTTTTTTTTTTTAATTTTATCAATGACTTTAAAAGTTTAGAGCATCATACGTTATGCCGATATTTTGATATATTTACAACATAATGATCGCGGAGTGATAGTAATTTGATTATAGGCAAGTTGTTAATGAATTTTTGTATGTAATCATAGTTAGGCTTTTATCTTTAGATAACTCTGTTTTTCTTTCGCCTAGTCTAGTGTCTATGTATGTACTGTGTCTATCAGATGAACCTACTGCAATCTGTCTAATTTATTTATTGGTTTTTCGACTTTATGTCAATGATAATAAAGTTGACTGCCTCGTTGGCCGAGTGGTCGCAAGTGTGACTGCTGAGCAAGAGGTCGGTAAACGAGCAGACGGATCACTTGATGGTAAGCAATCGGCGTCGCCCATGGACACCTGGAATACCAGAGGTGTTACAAGTTTTTAAGTTTTACCGGCTTTTTGGGATTGGGAATTTGAAGATTATTGGGGATTCGGGGATCGGTAACCTCACTCACTCGACGAAACACAACGCAAGTATTGTTTCACGTCGGTGTTCGCTGGTGGTCATGGTATCATTCCAGTTGTTGCCGGCCCATTCGTGCCGAAGCATGACATCACAATTTCAAATTAGCACGTTTGAACTATATTAACTTAATCAAAAAAGTAGACATACTATGAACTTTATTCTATATATGCGTTGTCCTTTGTGTTGTATGTATGTACATGAAGAATAAATGTATAAAAGTATACAATACCCCAACCTATAAAATATACAACCCGGTTTATATACCTACACAGAAATAACAATTTAATATACTTGAATAAATAACCACCATTTCAAAGGTCGAGTACAAAACAAATATCGAAAACTAAATAGTAATTAGGAACTTAAATGGATTGTATTATTGTTATACCCATTTGTATTTTTAATAAATCTTACTCTTACTGTGCCCGCGAAGGTTAGCGATATAACAGTAATATTATTATAACAGTGAAATTTGCTTTGTTTAGACGTTTGTCCGTCAATAACGCTGAAACTACTGAACGAATTTTGATGAAACTTGGTATACAGGCAGGGTATGTGCTGACTTAGGTGATAGGATATTTTTTATCCCGATTAACCCGTAGTATACTGGAACGTAGATCTACGTGAGACACAATGGGTTTTCTATTGTGTCTCCTATACCGACATTCAAGTGGTTTTTTTTAAGGGGGGAAAATCATCGGATGACTGCTCCCGCCTGGGTGAGGCGGGAGGGAGTGTCAGACTCTTACTGACTAAAAACCACCCCGTTCCTTCTCCTGCACTTCGAGCCGGAGCCCCGGTAACCCGTTAGGTTCTCCGCGACAGAGGTGTGATGAGACGTTATTCTCATCTTCATATTGCCGACAATACAAAAACAGAAAACCTCTTTACCTAAACAAAGAGCTAGTCTTCAATTACTGATATAATTTAACCGAAAATACAATGAAAATAATCACACAGGCAAAATCAATTCTATTTCAACTGTAAATACCAAGCGATCAGCAATGTTTTCATGACGAACGAAGTGTAAATTTCAATAAAGCAATAGACAAGAGTTATCTTACCATTTCTGATATTATCATATTAATCAATCTTGTATTAATTCTATAACATAACATAACATCACGCCTTTTATCCCCGAAGGGGTAGGCAGGTGATGATTATGCTACTGTACAATGTAACACCCACTTTTCACTATTTATGTTATGAGTCTCAACTAATAGGGGGTGAGTCTATTGCCATATACCGGGCACGATTCCAAACTCCGTGCTACTATTTTTGTTTTGGGACAAGCCCGCCACAACCTCCCAAAACTGCTACACCTCCTGTAAGCCAGGATCTACAGTAGATATAACCATGAAAACACCGGAACACTGAAGTTCGGCGCGTCCCAGGGACATGAGTAACTATCTTGGTTCCCGCAACGAAGTGAATCAGAAGATATTATAAGAGGAGAAGAAAAAAAAAATGCGTGCTACTATTGTAAATTTTTTGAAAAACCCAGTAATACTTTGCTTGACCCAGGAATCGAACCCGAGGCCCCTTGCCCGGCTGCCGCACTTGCGACCACTCGGCCAATGAGGCAGTCCAATTCTTCTTCGTGTAGTGTATTAAACTGTCAAACACCAAGCGGTCACCGGTGACCGCGACCTATTGTTCTTTAATTGTGTCTATAAAACCGGTACTCGACGAGTGAATTCTACTTCGAAACTATCTCGGATTTAAACTGTAAAACACCGCGAGGACAACGGTGACCGCAATCTATTGTTCTTTAATTGTGTCTATAATGACGGTACTCAAAGGTTTAATATCAACAGTTTAATACAAACACATCTATCACCCCAACTTCTTTCGCTTCTCGAGACATATTCAATTAATCACATATTTCAATATATGGTTTTCTTACGGTAACTGTTTGACAAGGTAACACGATTAGTTTCAAGCCACGCAGGGGCTCATAGTCAATGACGCGATAAATATCGTGAAGTTTATAATTTTGGTTATCTTTTTTTATGGCATAAGCCGGTAAACAAGCAGACGGCTCACCTAATGGTAAGCAATCGGCATCGCCCATGGACACCTGGAACACCAGAGGCGTTACAAGTGCGTTACCGGCCTTTTGGGGATTAGAAGTTTGAGGATCGTTGGGGATTCAGGAATTGCGGAGATCGGGAAAGGGGAGGGTAATTGGGCCTCCGGTAACCTCACTCACACGACGAAACACAACGCAACCGTTGCTTCACGTCGGTTTTCTGTGAGGCCGTGGTATCACTCCGATCGAGCCGGCCCATTCGTACCGAAGCATGGCTCTTCCACACTTGAACTTATCGTATAGAGTTGCTGTAAAAAGGCATAATTACCCATTTTTTCTCTATTTTTTTGGTGTATAGTAAGATTTCCCCTCGTATCAAGGGTGTATTTACGGACAAACATTAAAACGCTACACATACACACCTAATAGACACTCAGACCAATCAGTTTAAGACTCAGTGTCGACCCCGAAAACTAACTGGGAAAAAGGTTCCAGTTCGGATAAAGACGAGAAAAAAAGGATAGGGTAACTTCGCCTGTTCGCGTCCACCCACCAGTTCGTGTTCATGTTAGAAAACAACCTTAAAAAATTCCCTAATATAAAAAAAAACTACCACCATATTAGCAGTAGTTAGTTAGTAACATTTGTTTTAAAACACGTTATCAGTATCTTTCATTCATTGCAATCAGTAAAATGTACACAAACTGGTGGGTGAATAGGCAAACTATTTTAGGATTTTTTATGAGATTAAGCCGATAAATGAGCAGACGAATCACTTGATAGTAAGGAATCGGCGTTGCCCATGGACACCCGGAACACCGGAGGCGTTACAACTTTACAAATGCGTTACCGGCCTTTTGGAGACTAAGAATGGGGGGGGGGGCTAATTAAGCCTCCGGTAACCTCACTCACACGGCGAAACACAACGTAAGCGTAGTGGCATAAGCCGGTATACGAGCAGACGGATCACCTGATGATAAGCAATCGGCGTCGCCCATGGACACCTGGAACACCAGAGGAGTTATAGGTGCGTTACCCGCCTTTGATTAGGCATTTGAAGATTTTTAGAGTTTCAGAGATTGGGGAGACGGGGGGAGGGGGTAATTAGGCCTCCGGTGGTCTCACTCACACGACGAAATACAACACTTTCGTTGTGTAGCTTGATGTTGTGTGAGGTTCGGTGGACGCGAACAGGCCAATTTACCTTATAAAACAATTTATTGAACGTTGCCTGTAGACGTCCGGATTTGGAGAAAACCGTTGAATATTATCAAAATATCCTCAAACAAATGGGTATAACAATAATACAATCCATTTAAGTTCCTAATTACTATTTAGTTTTCGATATTTGTTTTGTACTCGACCTTTGAAATGGTGGTTATTTATTCAAGTATATTAAATTGTTATTTCTGTGTAGGTATATAAACCGGGTTGTATATTTTATAGGTTGGGGTATTGTATACTTTTATACATTTATTCTTCATGTACATACATACAACACAAAGGACAACGCATATATAGAATAAAGTTCATAGTATGTCTACTTTTTTGATTAAGTTAATATAGTTCAAACGTGCTAATTTGAAATTGTGATGTCATGCTTCGGCACGAATGGGCCGGCAACAACTGGAATGATACCATGACCACCAGCGAACACCGACGTGAAACAATACTTGCGTTGTGTTTCGTCGAGTGAGTGAGGTTACCGATCCCCGAATCCCCAATAATCTTCAAATTCCCAATCCCAAAAAGCCGGTAAAACTTAAAAACTTGTAACACCTCTGGTATTCCAGGTGTCCATGGGCAACGCCGATTCCTTACTATCAAGTGATTCGTCTGCTCATTTATCGGCTTAATCTCATAAAAAATCCTAAAATAGTTTGCCTATTCACCCACCAGTTTGTGTACATTTTACTGATTGCAATGAATGAAAGATACTGATAACGTGTTTTAAAACAAATGTTACTAACTAACTACTGCTAATATGGTGGTAGTTTTTTTTTATATTAGGGAACTTTTTAAGGTTGTTTTCTAACATGAACACGAACTGGTGGGTGGACGCGAACAGGCGAAGTT